TTAATTTTTCCACCTTTATTAAAAATTTTCATATGGACAATTTGTTATTAACAATCATTGCAATAATTTATAAAATTTTTCTAAATTATAGGTACATTTTAACACGAGTACTTTATAAATACAAATAATAACCAATAATTTATTAATTTCTTCATTTTTGTTCTACATTTACGTTTCGAGCAATTTGATATTAATAATAAATTTGATAATTTATACATATTTCATATACTAAGATCTCACTCGCACTTCCATAGGATAAATTTCAATTTGTAATTGTATTTACGTTTGGCAAATCTTAGTGTTTGTACGTCAGTAGCTATTTTGCCAGCATGTAAGATCTTTAAAAACGTTGTTGGTTAATCATCTCGAAAGAGAATTGGTCGTACAGATCGTTGACTAAGGTGTTTGCTCCGTAAGTACAGAGATGACCGAGGTTTATGATAGTTTAAGCTACCTAACGATCGAAACTTAAATGGGATTTTGAAACGTTGAGGAACGTCTGCAGGTGTTAACTTAGGTCTGCTCCTAGGAATTATCCCAGGTGCTCGCTGTCAACAGAGCCACGCATCGAGACTCGTAAAGACTGGGATGGCAATCGTAAATACCAGCGGCGTAAATAGTACATAGATAAATGGTGAACGAGTGTCGAGGTGATTTTTCGATTGACTTTTGATCGATCTTCTTTGTCATGGAATCTTCTCAGAGAAACCTTCAAAATATTCTTTAGAAATAGAATTTATCTGCACCGATGAAGAGATCACGGTATCACACGGTTGACGTACGGAATAATTTAATCGTGATTTTATTAACGACAAATTTCTAATTTATATTTTACAGGAAATTCTGAATTTAATCCTTCGTAACTATCATTTTATAGATTAAGTTCAGGTACCGATCAAGAGTTCAAAGCCTCACAGCTTTAAGCTTGAAAATGCCGATTAATATTTCACGGTATCGAGAGAATTTTAAATAGGAAGCATGGCGTTGGCCATGATCAGATTTGTAAGATAGAGACTCATAATACCTTTACACTACATACTAACACGGGATGCATTTGCTTTTCCTTGATCTTTGTTTAGGTTCGATTATTTTCGCGAATATTTTGAGAGAAAAGGTTTTCCTTCATTCTTGAATCTTTTCATTCAAACGTATTACCAAGTTTATTACGAAGAAGTAATCGGATTATTCGGAGACATTATGGCATCGGAGAAACGGTGAAGACAACGGTGGAATGACAACGAATGTAAAAGTTCCACCGTTAAAAGTATTTAAAGCTTCTGAGAAACTTCGCTATATATAATACTCCTTAGAAACTAGCCACATTTTCCATCCTTTCCATCGATTACCTCCACGAACATTCTCCGTTCTTTAGTTTCTAAATATCGGCTGATACTTCGACTATTCTTATTTTCCTATAGAAACGTTATACGTCGTTTACGCGAACACCCGCGATCCGTCGATCGTTTCTTAGAAACAAACAGAACTTCTTGTTAGAACTGCAAGTCTGTTGCTAGCGAAAGAATAAACTATTGTGAAAAATAACACGTTGATACATGTATACTTATAGAAATTCGTTACTTCAGAAATATCGCTATATTTGATTTCGCGTAACTTTAAATTCACGCGGACTCTCGGAATTTTATTGTTCCACTATTTCACGATGTCGGTTTTTAAAGAATAGTCCCAATTTTATTCTCACGACATTTTAAATCCATGTGGACTCTCAGAACCTCATTATTTCGGAGTACCAATTTTTAAAAAATATTGGTAATTTTGCTTCCATGTAATATTAAATCTACGCAGATCCTCAGAATCTTCGCTATTATACTATTTCTCAGCATCCAATTCAAAAAATATCGCAAACTTCGTCTGCACGAAATTTTAATTCCTCTTCGACTTCTAAAAATGTTCTATTTCTCTACTATGCATCGGCGTCCCAGAAATATCGCCAAAGCAAAATATCCGTATAACCTTAAATCTTAACTAATTTACATTACCTCTATATCAAAAATACCTCTACTTTCATTTCCACCTACTTTCATTTCCTTTTTTATTTCCAAAATTTAATTTTAATTAATAATTGTCCCATCCAAAAATTTAGGAATCTTATCTCCCTTATGAACACGTATATACTCCTCTATTAAAAAATTCCTGAAAATATTCCTATTTCAATCACGTATTCAACCTTTTTCTCATTCAAGAAACAGATTCCATGTTCGAGAGATTAAGGGTTGAAAAATTTCGCACGCGATTAAAATGTGCACTCCTGTCACTCTGTGAGTTAGATTATACAGTTTCCCTCGATTCGACGAAATAAAATGACGAGATTTGGGGAAACGATCGATTCGGTCGTTGTCAAAGTATAATACAGAGGCAGGAACGATTTATGTGAATGGTGCTTAACTTTGAAGTATGGCGGTGGGTAGGTGCATTGAAAAATTCAACAGGAATGGCTGAATAAATGGCTGACCGTGTTTGTATCGAGTTTTTGCCAAAACCCTCAAATTCGAGGATAAATTACTCGCACGCGTACATCGAGCACTCTCTTCATTTCGATGAAATATTTCACCGAATTTGTGCCGGAATTCTCGAGATATGCAAATGTGCTCGAAAATTTGGCAAATTAACCGAACAGTAGCACGCGTGCTTCTCCCCTTCTATTGTTGTGGAAATAGATCAAATTGCTTCAATCGCTATTTCGTCAATGTGTTCTCCTTTATCATTTTATGAATATTATTTTAATTTCCATAAACATTAATACAGTACATTCGCAATATTCATATTCATAGTAGAATATTCGTTAATGAGTTCTGTAAATGGAGCTAACAATTTTCTCATTGTTTTTCATTTCTCAGATTTATTTTCTGTGATCTTGTATTTACTCTTGCGATGCTTTTAATTACTTTAATTATTTTGCTATAATTTCGCGATATTTATTCTCCACGATATCTTACCTGTTGTTAAATTATTCTTACCTTCGAGCATCTTATCTATTTTAATCACTTCTTTTACATATTCCCATCGAAATAATTATTTCAAATAATCACCAGTAGGCATTCTATCATCAAAAAAGACGGAACCAAGTTTTTGTTAAATGAAATCAAATATAACAGATTAATAATAAAAATATACACATAATTAATAATAATCGTCTGAAAAAAATATATGAAGCAAGAAGAAGAAACATGCTACTATTAAGTATAGTATTCTGAATTATAGTATCGCAGAGTATATTATTTCTAAATTTCTAACATAAAATAAATAATTTCCATGTATTAATCTTACGAAAAGAAAAAGAAAAAGAAAAATCGAACCTCATACATTCTACCTCGTTATTAAGTTATGCCACTTTATCTGCCTCGAATAATTCACTTCCAGCCCATCTCATTCGCCCCTTCGGATATGTAGCAGCGAGGGTCTAACAATTCAGAGATCCCTGCAGAAGTCTATAGCGATTTTCATTTGAATGAAGTCACACAGTGTTTCAGTGGTCTCTGTTCCCCATTGATACTATTCCCTCCTCGATCTCGCAACCTCTGTGATGTAAGTCGCGCGATTGTCGGTGGTGGCGGAGCGAATCGGTATCTTCAGCTGGCAATAGCGTTCAAATCCAGTAATGCACGTGTTTACGAGGCCGCTGTAACAACGTCGTAATTTTTGTGATGAAAATACCCGGCTATCTGATAAATATAAATAAGGGTAGCGCCGCGGTAACGCGTCGTGACGCGTAAGATTTTCTTAAATTGAACAGCGCGTTTCGCATGTTGGCCAGTTTAATTACGGTTATAATCTCGTTTTGTCCCGTGGCTGTATGGTTGCACATTCTTATCGCGAATCATTGTTACAACAAGTATCCTCCCATACATGCGAGTCGTAGAAATTGCTATCTGGATTGTAACTGATATTTAATTCTCCGTGATGGGAATTTAATTGGTTTTGGTGAAAAAGAAAATTCGAATGTTTTTCTTGTGTCTGTATTCTCGAATATAATTTGAAATTTTTGCTGAACTCGATTTGGAAGATCGTGTTAATCCTCCATTGCTAGTAATTTGCAGCTTTTGTTTAAATAACGTATCATAGTAATTTTCTCTTTTAGATCTAGATTCATTTGAAATTCTTAGAATTCTTTGCTAGATTAGTCGAATATAATACTGTAGAGATGATTTGCATGATGGTGTATATTTTTATTTAATAATAAATTGATAGTGACAGAGTATGTGAGTAACGATAAAGGTACAAATTTTTATAATTTATCGTATCGCTCAACCTACACTTCTACAACAACTCTCCTATTACAACTCACAATTGTTAGTAACTCACAATTATTAGCAACTAACAACTGTTCTATTACAACTCTCCATTGACTTAGCAACTCTTTAATCGACAACTCTCAACTCGAAAAGTCCCTCATTCAGAATGTCCTCGTCCTTTTATGTCCGACTTTCCAACATGCAGACATTCTACAATAACTCCCGCAACCAAATATGGTTGTGCTAAGGGCCCGATGCATAGCCCAGGATTCTTCCAACTAACCTGGCCTTCGAACCCTCGATGAGTTTCGTAAAGCTTCCGATACTAATACCAATTTTACGTAGTAATTTTCTATGTTTTTATTGTGGATTAATTTAAAATCCTTATTTGACTCTTGCCACGTTAATTATACTTTTCTTCGTCACAGAAAATGAAATATGAAGAATTAATTATTAAAAATGAATAGTGAAATAATTGTTCGAATTACTAAGTTTCTACATAGTAATCTCGGAGATATTTCCAGTTAAAAATTTTTCATTGGCCACCTAAATTTACGTTTTTCCATTTTGACATTCTATAATAGGCTTCGTAGATTTACGCTTTTGCTTGAATTTTTAAGCCACGTGAAAAACACGGAAAGATGCAGCGCTTTAAAGCCATTCGCACTTGTTTATTTAATTCTCTTTAAAAATTCCCAGAAACCGAGAAAGACAGGGAAAAAGGCAACCCGTCCGTTAATGTAAAAGGAAATGGAAGTGCAATTGATCGATTTGCTCTTCTCACAGGCAGTACTTATCCCTCTGGTGCTCGGCGGCATCATCCACTTCACTGTGATCGGGAACACTCTGGTCTGCGTCGCCGTGTTCCTCGTTAAGGAGCTGCGGAGGCCGTGCAACTATGTTGGCTAGTCTGGCAGTTAGTGATCTCTGCGTCGCTCTCCTGGTAATATCGATGGAGTTGCTCTATGAAATCTCTGGTAATTGGTCCTTCGGCAAAATTATGTGCGACCTTTGGGTTAGTTTCGACGTACTAAGTTGCACCGCCAGCATCCTCTATCCCTGCATGATCTCTGTGGACCGGTGAGTAGCCCCCGTGACCAGGTATTCCTTGCGAAATTGAGTTACCCCAAAGATCGTGTCACGCGAAACCGAATTACCCGGTCTAATTGTAAAATCAAATTTCGGATTTTCTCAATCGGCCAGGTTACTCGAGAGTCTCTGCAAGCCTGCACGAGAGTGTTTCGTCCAATTTCCTTCTATTTAAAATCAATTTCGGCTAAGATGCTTGGAACTAGCCTCGAGTTGATTGTCATTTAATAATAACTGCCTGGAGTGAACCGAACGCTTGGAATCGATACGAATATTGCTTATTAATAATTCTGACGCATCTGCAATAATATTAACGAAATACTCTCATCCATGACGTTCATAAGGTTTGTAGAAATAATTATAACGATACTATTTAGATAGAATGATATTTAAACCGAGTTTTTGGGTTATGTTCATCTCTTTCTTTCATTTTCTCTATTTTTAAATATATATTTATGAAAACCTTCGAAGTCTTGAATATCGATAGTGGTTAGATATACTTCCATTTTGCTTGCGCGAATTTTAAGTGTATGATTTAAGAGCAGCGTGACAGCTAATAAAAAATTCGCAGATGGCTGCCTTATTTCGATTTTTATCACTGGCTCCGATATTATTTATTTCATTTCCATCGCGAGCCGAGATCAATCGTGATTGCTCGTAAGTCGGTATTAAAAGTCGAAGCGGAATATTTTGTAGGATTCCTTAGCAATAAATGTACGCAATATCCAAGAGAGATGTGCTACGGTTAAGACGGAATATTTATTAATCAAAGGTGGAAAACTGGTAGGGAATGAAAATATAGTCTGGCTAATATTAATTCCGTTTAGAGCATCTTGAGTTTTGCAGATGCTTTCCATAAAATTCTATCGCGTTTCCGATACCATTGTTCGCCTAACTCGGATTCATTCAAACTCCAACGTGAGGAATATTCATAACGTCATAGCCGATTATTTCATTCACGATATAATCGCATTCTGGACTACCAATATCGTACAGAGAATGCTTGAAAGTGCGATACCAAGGGTCCCAGGGGTTCATCGTGGCAGTTTCGAATATATTAATACCGTGAATGAAAAGCTCTTAACTAACTGAAAAATATCAGCTTATATTTCTTCTAACAACACGTCAGTGTAGTACACCGTCACTCGTTAATTTCTTGGTTAAGCCTCTTGAGACAAATGGAGTACTCGAGTAATATTCTATTAGTTCTCCATATCGCCGTGGGTCTTGAAAATTGTATCACATTTTCAAAATTCATATTTCTCTTATACGGGATGGCCACTGAAAAACTGAAGGGTTTGAAAAACTCATAACTCGTCCATTTTCTATCATTCTTATTCCCTTTTCCTGCGAGTAGAAAACGGTGGTCATTTGAGGGATGTTTTCACAAGTTTATTGTAAAAATCTATCAATTATATTTCCAAATGATAAGAAATTACTTTTGTTTTATATTTTATATCTGCTCCTCAATGGCCACATTGTACATCATTCAAAGTAGATCGTAATATTTCTTCTCTCGTGAGCAAGAAAAATTCCACTAATTATGAGCTAACGATTTTGCTGCTTGCTCGTTGAACCTCCTTAGGAATTAATTTTAAAGAAACTCGAGTAAAAATCGAAGAACTATTATTTTCATTCATGGGCCAAAAAAATTACCAATCTTTATTTCCATCTAAATTCGTAACGCATTTCAGTCGCCTCTTCTCTACTCCAAGTTCCCTTTAACTGAGTCGTGCTCGATTGGAGAAAAATGATAATTGTATCGATCATTAATAAACCCGATATTATCAAATGTACTATATCCTATATTTTATTTAATTTAATATGTAAAATTTTTGTTATATGATAAGTGTACCTTGCATCTCTACAAACAGGAAATAAAGGAGTATACGAAGGAAAATTTCTTTGAATCCAAAGAAAAAAATAATAGATCTATTCCATCGCGTGAATGATAGCAACGAAGACGAAGCGAAAGTAGTGCAGAGCTTTCGATCCTAGGTGCTACGTTGCAACGCAGGCTTTCATCGAACGCGAAATACAGAGAATAATCTATCAACCCGGTAACATGTATTTTCTTTCTCGCTTTATGTACCGTGAGTCGACCTGTGAACTCGCGGTGGAGACATGTCCGCTTGGAAAAAAGCACGCGACGATTAGATCACACGAATGAGAACTGTCCCGAAGCGGACAACGTAAGCGATGCACGTTTCATTTAATCAGAAACACAGCGAGATTCGCGTTCGGCTAAGCAGCAGATGAAACATGAGTTTGTGTCGTTGTTACAGATTCTGCGAGATAACGAAGCCGCTGAAGTACGGGGTGAAGGGGACACCGCGACGAATGGTCATCTACGTCATCCTAGGTTGGTTGGCGGCGACCTGCATCAGTCTGCCTCCCCTAATGATCATGAGGAACGAGCGCACTACTGAGACCGGCGCGACCATGTGTAGTCTCCCAGAACTCCTACTATTAGAGCTACACCACGTTGGGACGCTTCTACATACCACTCTTCGTTATGATTCAGGTGAGACATCGTTGAGTTCACGTGGACATCGTTACTGTAGGTATGAGGACATAAACTTGAACGTTTGGGATGTTCAGACTTTTGGAACAAGTGATCAGTGGACGTGGACCATAGGTAGGCTTGGGTTTAAGTGTTCGGTAGACTTTTCTTTGTATCATGGTCCAGTAGCACAGATAGTTCGTGAGGAAGAGCATCGTTAAGTCTCTGTACACTCAATGCTATCCTTGGTCTGAAAACCTAAGCTTCAACGTTAGAAGTTATGACATTTGGGATTGGTGATCGTTCAGTGGATGTGGACCAAGTTAGAGTTAAATTAAATTTTTAAATATTTTGCTTCATGCATATGAATTATTTAATTAATTAATTATTTGTATATATATAAAAGAAGAAAAATTGCGGAAGTGTTAGTACCGCAAAAATAATTCGTATGCGCGAATCAAAATAGTTAGAAATTTAAAACCTCTTACTTAAACTCAGATATAAGTTTGCAAATTTTTCACATTTTTTTTTAATCTTTTCCACTGGGAAACCACTAAAGTTACAAGGGAGTAGCATTAATCGGAAACATTGAATGACGATACTCAAACACAGCAGAGTGCGATTGAAGAAATTCCCTGACTCTTAGACGAGGCACGAGGTGGCTTGAAATTCGATTCAGTTGTAGGTTTTAATGCATTCTTAATTAGAAGTTTAGATTGGATCAACCGGAATACGAGAAATGTTCTTAAATTTGGGTTTAAAAGTGCTCTGGATTCGCGTGCTCCAGGTGATTGTAATTTCAATTATTCTTCGAGAAAACCGGAATGCCTGGCCGATATCGAGGAAATAATTTGCTGGGAATTTAAATTATCCAACTTTTCTCGATCGCGGTCACCGAATTAAGCTCTCTCGTATTATCACATTTTTATCATAATATATATCGAATATGTTAATATTGTAGAGATAGGGTGGGGACAACACCACACGAATAATACTAAAACTATTTATTAATCCTAACAACACGTTTATACTTCGCAACACTAATACACCTTTTTTCACGACTCTCTCTCTGAACTCTCCTATACTACACGTACCGCGACCGACTCCACATCCTCTCTCTCTGTCACTGACCGACTGTTTCTGACTGTCCACTCACGCCCTTGCATCCCTATTTAAAACCATCTATTCTATCCTCTTTCATACCTATTCTCTCTTTCCAATCATACTTTCCCACGCACTCCTCGCAATCTTACCCTCAGCGGGTCACTCAGCCCAAACACTCGAACGCATTTCTAAAGCCACTCGATACATTCATAAACATCCTGTTCACACGATCCTAGCGCACGATCATTCATCCTTTCGCACGCACTCTAGATAACACTCTCATTCCGCGATACCACAATATTTAATCCCAATTATCAGCATTGCGACTACCATTTAAATTTGTATGACTAATTCCCAGGTACTTAATCAAAGTCCTATAGGGATCTCGAGTATTTTATTTTTGTAATTAATAAGAAAAATTGGAACAAGCAAATCAGTCATAAAGACTAATTCTCGAATATTTTATTAGAATATCGTATTTGATTTTTACGAATAATAGGGATAAATTAAAAATTGCAAATGGTGGTGACCAATTCTAAAATATTACAACGGTCTTAAATATTTTAATTCTGCAATAAGTGGAGACGAAAAATATATATGGAAAGCTCTAACAGCCATCCTGACAAAATCACCTCCAGTATTATAGTAATTATTTTAATCGCTAATAATATATTAAATATATGTGGTATCGCAGGATGAGTGAGTTATCTAGAGTGCGTGCGAAAGGATGAATGATCGTGCGCTAGGATCGTGTGAACGGGATGTTTATGAATGTATCGAGTGGCTTTAGGAATGCGTTCGAGTGTTTGGGCTGAGTGACCCGCTGAGGGTAAGATTGCGAGGAGTGCGTGGGAAAGTGTGATTGGAAAGAGAGAATAGGTATGAAAGAGGATAGAATGGATGGTTTTAAATAGGGATGCAAGGGCGTGAGTGGACACAGTCAGAGACAGTCAGTGACAGAGAGAGAGGGTGTGGAGTCGGTCGCGGTACGTGTAGTATAGGAGAGTTCAGAGAGAGAGTTGTGAAGAAAGGTGTATTAGTGTTGCGAATATAAACGTGTTGTTAGGATTAATAAATAATAGTTTTAGTAGTATTCGTGTGTTGTTGTTGTTCCCTCCCATCTCTACATATATAAATGCAGATATTAACGATGTTAATGGTTATTATATAATTAATGAAATATCGAATGGTATTTACACATAGCAGGCTAATGGTTCTAGCGTAGAGAAGGATAATTACTGTTGCGGGGTCGCACTTAAAGGTGCTTCCGGTTCTATACGGTGTAATAAATCGTACAGCTTACTAAATTAATCGAGGCGCCGACGCTGTACAGCGATCAGCAGTCATTTAATGGTACATCGGCTGACAACGAATTTAATTATTTCGATGTAACGAAAGTTGATTAATGTGCTAGAGAGTCTTTTGCCCTGCCGAGTGTATTGTCTATGGGGCATCGGGAGTGATGATTAGAATTTCTAACTTGTGACAAAACTGGACCGATGATGCGCGTAAATGAACCACCCCAAGTTAGGAGCTGCTGAAGCTGGTTCAACCGTAATAGCTTCATTAACAATTGGAGAGAAAAGAAATTTATTCCGAATTTATTACACTCGACAAAAATAAATTTAACTTCTCCAAGCTGTTCCCGAAAAAATTCTTCATTTCATTAGATATTCCTTCTCAGACGGAATAAGAAGATGAAAATTTCGTACTGAAAATATGTTTTCCTTTAAGAAAACAGTGTTGACTTTCGAATAATCTTGCGGTATATATTACACTCTTCAAATGAAAAATAAATAGTACAGTTGTAGTCTAGGAACCTTTTAATCTGATATTTTTTCCTAAAATACATTTTATTTGAGATATTTTAAGGTGATACTTTCAAATAAATAATTATATACATGAAAAATTTTCTTTCTTCCTTAAGTTTGACGTTTGAACTACACTTTTCACTTATAGTTGCAGGATTTCATAACAATCGTAAAAGATAGTGTCACTTTCTGATTTACCAAACCGAAATTTTCTTGGGCCTGTGCACAGAATTAAATAGAAAATTTTACATGCTGAATTCGTGTGACCGTACGGCTCCGAATAGTATCGTCACAACTGCAGAGGGCAGAGCATAGCCGTCGGAGGCGGAGAATACTAGAGAGACGAATAACCGAAGAGCATAGATTACCACTGGTTAGGACTGCGCTGTACATGATTGCACCTCCAGGACAACAGAGCACATCAGATCGCAACTGAGCACAGTAGATCACGGTAGACCGCCAATTAGGGACCGTTTAGCACAGATTTGTATTGCATGAGATAGCACTCTACCGGATAGCACTGCTACCACAGCAAGTCACAGCAGAGCACAGCATAGCATCGAATACCACCAAACGATACCAATTAGTACTGCTTATTGCAGGATGGCCGCGAAGAGAACCGCCACCACAGCATACCACATCAGTGTATAGCAGGGCGCTGCACAGCATCGGAAACAGAGCACAGTAAAGCACCGAATAGGACGGAATTAAACAGATTAGTACTGTTTAGGGTAGCACTGCACCGAATAGTACTGCCACCAGAGCTGCGCACGATAAAGCGCAGCAGTGGAGAGCAGAGTAACAAATAGCACCGAATAGCACAGATTAGCACTGCCCTGGACAGCACAGCACAGATAGCATCGCCACCACAGCGGATCACATTAGATAGCAGGAGAGCGCAGCAGAGTACCGTAGAGCTCCGAATAGTTATGTACAGCGCAGATTTGCACCGATCAGGGCAGCAACGCACTGAGTAATGCCGGCGCCACAGCGGAGCGCAATAGGGTCAGCCATGTTTAGCCAAGCGCAGCCGTTCGCAGCCGAACTTAGCCGAGCGCAGCAGTGCACAGCACAGCGCAGCAGAGCACAGCGCAGCAGAGCACAGCAGAAAACAATAAAGCGCCGAATCGCACCGAATGGCATAGATTACTACATGATAAGACAGCACCGCATATAATAGCCCTGCCAGCACAACAGAGTACAACAGAGCACGGTCGAGCGCAGATAAGAAGAGAATAGCACTGAATAGAACTGCTTAGGATAGAGCAACTTTGAATTGCACAGCCACCGCCGCAGATCGCAGCAGAGTGCAGCAGATTGCGTCAGAGCGCAGCTGATCGACGAATAGATCATATTGACACTGCTTTGGGCAGAAGCGCACCAAACAGCACTTTCACCACTGCAGATTAAAGCGCAAAGTACAGCAGCTCTCAGCATGCCGCACGTTAGTATAGTATTGCGCCGTATAAAACTTTTAGCACTGCTTATGTCGGCACTGTAATGGACAGAACCTCCTACAATACAGAACGCAGCAGAGCGCAGCAGGTAGGAGTTGAGCAGAGTAGATCGACGAATAGCACGGAATAGCGCAAGGTAGCACTTTTTCGGACTGCACCGACGAAGGACCCAGACGCAATAGATGAGCACTTCTCAGCTCAATACAAAACACTAGAGCACATTAGAGCGCTGAATAGCGCTGAATATCCCAGATTATCACTGCTTCGGACAACACTGCACCAAATAGCACCGCCATAAAAGCAAAGCACAGCAGTTTTCTGAAAAGCACCGGAAGGATCAGATTGCCAATGCTTAGGACAGCTGTGTACAGAATGGTTATGCCATCACAGAAGGGCGCAGAATAGCGCAATAGGTCGCAGAATAGCGCAATAGGGCGCAGAATAGTGGAGTAGGTCGTAGCACAATGCTACTGAGCACTGAAGAGAGCCGAAGAGCACCGTGTCGCATAGAGCAGTATTCCCTAGGACTGCATCACACCGAGTAGCCCCAGCAAGAAAGAAGAGCACAGCAGAACACAATGGAGCGCAGAATATCACCGAATAGCACAGACTTGCACTGGTTAGTAATCCATCGTACCGAATTACACCGTCACCATACCAGCGC